CAGGCAATGATGGACCCCAGCCCTGCCTGCTGACCAGCAGAACCCTCTAGGTCAGGGCAGGGGAAGAACTGCTACCTGGCAGCTCCCTGCTGTACATGGCGAGGGCTGGGACTCCTCCAAAACCTGGTGTCACAGCTCGGGAGGAAACAAACCATGTCCCTGCAGTGCCCATCTCTGCCTGTACAGCTGGTGGGGATGGAGGTGGGCACAGAGCACCTGTCCCACCACGGGTCCCCCTGCACTTCCCTCCCTCTTATTCCTGGCACATTCCCACCGCCTCCCTGGGCCACCCGTGGCCCTGTGCTTCCCCATCCTGTCCCAGGAGGACACCAAGAGCTCCTGCTGCCTCTCCAGGCTTCTCACGTCATTGTCCCAAATCCCACCTGTCCCGCTGCCACCCATCCCCATGGTAAGACCCTCCCCACAGACAGGGTCCTATGGCTCCCTGTTACCCTGTGTCCTGCCTGTGTCTTCCACATCCTGCCCATCATCTCCCTCAGGCCGTTCATCTCTGAATCTTGGGCAGGACCCTGGTGGCTTCTGACCCTGTCTGTCTGTACAATTAATCTCTCATGTCCCCCTCCTTCCACTTGCTGCTTCGGAGCTGCCTGTTACTCCATCCCAACCTTCCTCTGTCTGTAACGAGTGTGGCATTTACAAACTGATAGAAAGAAAACCCTTTGTACCCATAATATGAGATTGACTTGTGGCACCCCACGCTGCAGGCTCATGCTGGTATAAAAGCCTCAGTTGGACTCAGCAGAGGTCCTGACATATCTCTGCCTACAGGAATAGCCAGAGGTGAAAGAAAAACCCCTGGGAGATCCAGCCAGGGCAGCGCATTGCTATCGGTCAGGCTGAGCTTGCAGGGAGAAGCTGGGAAATGGCAGCATCCCCCCCTGCTGCTGCAGCCCTGCTTAAGGGGACCCCACGCTGGATGTCCCCAGGCTGCTCTCTGCCAGCTCTGCCTACGCTCCTGCGGCAGAGCACGGCTCCTGCCCCTCACCCTGCCCTGCTCTGCCCTCCCACCAGCTCCGTGCTGCTCCCCCAGCCCTGTGAGCCCACACCAGTCACTCAGGCACATCCCCTTCATCAGGAGTGACACGGCAGCCCCTGAGCCCCTGTCCCTGCAGAGGGTCTGGAGGGTGGGAGGCAGTGCCTGGCACCAGGCTACTTGCGTGCTAACACATGCAGCATTCGGGGCAAGCCCCACGCCAAGAGCCGTGTACGGACTTGAGGATGGCCAGGGAGACGTTCTGCTTCCACGGGCTGTCCTTGCGCATCCCGATCCCAAAGCCGGAGCGGAAGAAAAGCTCCCCCGTCGTCACCAGGTCACACTTCTGGGAGGCTTCGAACTCCAGCACTGCTGAGTCCCAGATGAAGGCGTGGAGCTTGCTGGACACCGAGAGAACAGACAGGTCAGGATGGGCAGCCAGCTGGTCTGCAGCCACCGTGGGAACAACCAGGGTGCTCCCAGCCCCAGTTCAACCATTGACTAGCATCACCCTCCTCCCAGGAGGGTCTGTGCTGCCAGCAGGCAAAAGGCTTGGCACAATTTTGGAAGAGGAGTGTGAGGGGTTTCCATGGGACTTGAAGCCACCAGCCTTGCACAGAAGCAACTGCAGAGGCCAGAAAGGGAAGCCATGGCCAGGGCCAGGGCTCCAAGGGTGCCTTTCACCACACAGACCTTGTGCTCTCCATCCTGAGACCTGGTACACACTAGGACTGGGAAAATCCCACCTAGCACCAACTGGGCAGGTCCCATCAAGCCATGCTTTGACTGCAGCTCCCCCCAGGTTTGCATCAGCCCTGCTTGCTCCACCAAACTGCAGCCCCCCTGAAAACTCTTCCCAGCATGGTCAGATGAAGCTCTGGCCCCACTCACTTGTCCCTGACTGCCTGGATGGCTTCGGCAGCGCTCTCGTAGTTGTGTTTCTCCATGTGCCGGTACATGGTGCTCAGCTCCACCTGCCGTCGGAAGTAGATGTCCACCGAACTCTGCTTCACCGTGGCATAGATGAACTTATCAGAGGGGTTGCGCAGCTGAAAGGCAAGGGCAGAGGTCCCATTTCTTCTGTCCTTCATCAACCAAATTCATCCCAAAGCTCTGTTTCCTATTTTCCCATCCCCTTCAGGGACCTGTTTCCCAGAGAAGACTTTGATCTCCTCAGCAGACATGAAGGTGCCATGGGGCAGGGGATGCTGTGGGACCATGGAGGTGGGGCAGCGGATGCTATGGGACAGGGACACTGTGGTGGTGAGGATGCAGGAGGCCTGTGGATGCCATGGGGCTGGCGGTGCTGTGGGCACAGGACGCAGTAGGGCACAGGATGCTGTGGGTCGGCGCTGCTGTGGGGTACGTTCCTGTGTGCCTGGACTGATACACTGTGGCTGTGTCCTTGCCAGAGCAGGAAATGGCTTTGAGGCATGATGGTATCTGCTGAGAGTATTGACTGCACCACAGGGACAATTCATTAGTTATAACTCATCTATAATGAATCGTTTCCTCGTTGGTTAGCGCAGGCTCTCCAGGAACTGTCAGGCAGTTTGGCTGGGTATGTTCTATTTCTGGACAAGGTTTTCCCTGCTGATCCCTCTATCTCTCCATTCCCGCCCCCTGCAGGGGCTCAGACCCACCAGTGACAGCCCCAAGCAGAGCTACCCAGGGCTCAACCCCCTGCCACAGACCCACAACCCTGTTAAAGCAGGGGTCTGGGCACTAAAGCCATATTGTAGGAGTCAAGAGATACCCACTGGAGGCATCTCCTGCTCCTCTGCCCAGAGGTGTACAGGTAAGGGGAAAGGAAGCGAGGGGTCATTACCCGGGGGTCATTGATGCCTGTGATTCTCTCCTCAGGCCGGTCTAACACCAGGAAGGCTGCCAGGTTGGCAGTGTATGAAGCCACAATGATCATAGCAAAGCCAGCCCACACCATGCCAAGAATACGGGCAGAGAAACTCCGGGGAGCACCTGAAGGGAAAGAAAACTGGAACTTGGTCACCAAAGCCACGTCCATCCCACACAACTCCAATGGCAGCTGCAGATGTGCCCCCTCTCTCTGCTCTGCTGGCAGCTGTGCAAGGAGCTCCTGCATGTCCCACACCAAGAAAAACCCACCCCTCCTTCCCAGGCACGATGTGTCCCACCCTGAGCAGATGGGTAATGCTGGGCAGGAGAACAGCACAAGAAGGACCCGTTTCCCACTGCTGACAGTGAGTGGTGGCAGGATGGTCCGCACAGGGAGTGCCTCAGCCCCAGCATCACTGAACGCCCCACGAGACCACCCCACGAGACCACCCCAAGGAAGGCTCAGGGAACAAGGGCTGTACCCAGTCGCTGAATGGTCAGCCAAGGGCATCAGCCCTGACACAGAAAGGAGGCAGTGGAAGAGGGCATGAGCTTCTCCCCCAGCCCTGTCATCCCCCCATCTCAGGGCCAGGGCTGCAGTCCCACTGCATCCTGCAACGCACCTTCTCCGATGCCGGAGTTCAGGAGGACTCCCCAGGAAAACCACATGGCCGAGGAGAGGGTCAGGGCATCTTCCTCCTCCTCCTCGCTGTTCACTTTGAACCGGCCAAATGGGCTGGAAAAGAAGATAGAGACCTCTTCTCATATCCGCTATTCTGGTTCCCAGCCTTCTCTGCTGTGCCCTAAGTGTCCCAATGCAGCCGTACATCGCTCATCCCTACAGACTGTGCCTACACCCCAAACAGGTCCTCACCCCAATGTCCCACTGCCTGCCATGTCCCCTCTGCTGATCTGCAGCCCTGTCCAGCTCACACCAGTACTGGTGGTGGTGTTGGGTTGATGGTTGGACTTGATGATCCTTGAGGTCTTTTCCAACCTTAATGATTCTATTATTCTATGATTCTATGGTCCCGTCACGCTCCTCTCTGAGCCAGAAAGACCATCTGACCCTGTCATCTCCAGCCTCTCCCACTGCAGCACGGGGGGTTCACTGCAGATTAACTGCAAAAGCCTCTGGGCACAGGGCTAATGGGGGGGACAGGCTCCTGCCCTTCAGAGGAGCTGCCTTGGGGTCAAGGAGGGGACTAACTCAGAGCCCAGGAGCTGATGGTCCCCTTGATCAGGCACCAGCATCCCCTTGGTCTGGCAGGCATGTTCCCACATATCCAGGTGCTGGGTACCCCACATATTTATATATCTCATCTTAGCAGCAGCCGGAGAGACCAGGAGCCTCAGCCCAGGACTGGTGGGGCAGAGAAAGTGGGTCTAGCTCCTGCGAGACACCCCTGAAGGGCTGCAGGGCTGTGCCTAAGACACTGAGGGGAGCCAGGGTATGGTTCACAGGGGCACGTCCCTGTCCCTGTCCCCTTAGGTGACCCAAAGTGCACTCACCTGAATCGGTCCAAGAGGTACAACATCACTGCCACCACGTGCACGGACAGCCCCACCAGCAGCCACAGCGTGCTCTGGAAGGGCTGCATGAATGAGTCCAGGGTGCTGCGGGGGATTTCCTAGCACACAGGAGAGAGGGCAACAGCGCTGGCACCCATCATGCCAGCACCTTGCCCACCCAGCTGGGCTCACAGGGGTCCTGCCCTGCTCTGAGCTCCTTCTCCACTGCACAGAAAGGCTCAGGGTGGCTGAGACAAGAGCCAGCATTAAACCAGGAACCTGTAGACCAGCAAAGGCTGGGATTTGTGGCTGCCCTGGGGTGAGCAGCTGGAGGAGCCGGGCACGGTGCAGGCATGGCATGTGTCTGCAAACTGGGGAGCAAGGAGCACCTCTCCTGTTCCACAAAACATCCCATCCCAGCCCATACCTTCTTCACAAGGATGGTCAGGCCCTGGTACTTGAAGGCCTTGGAGAATTCAATGTACTGTGCCCGCTCGTTGTTGATGGTGAGGGGAGCCACGATCATGTCTGCTTGGCCGCTCAGCAACTCCCCCATCATCCCGTTCCACTCCTTCTTGTTGCTGTTGTTGACCTGCCAGAGAGCCAGCACTGGATCAGTCCACTGCCCTGACACCGGTCCCCCACGAGCCAGGACCCCCACACACGGTGGATGCCCTGAACTGAGCTCCCAAACCCACCCCTGCTCCAGGGAAGGGCCGGGGGGTGTTTCAACACACAATGAAGGCAAAAGAGACATCACAGGCTGCACAAACTCACCCGCTCTTGGGTACCAAATTTACCATCAGCCACCAGGTGAACCTCGTAGGTGAAGTTCATCACCCCCGCCAGCCGGATGAGCAGGTCAATGCAGAAGCCATAGCAGCACAGTGCCACCGTGGGACGGCCTGTGGGCGGGAGAAAAGGGTGGAGGGGACGAGTGGAGGCAGCCCTTTGCCAGAGACCCCATGCGGGATCCATGGCTGTCCCCAGCCAGAGCAGCCCCCTGCGTGGCTCTGGTTTCATGCAAGACGTAATTGTGTTATCCAGGCATTGCCATCTGCCTTGACAGCCCCCTCCCACCGCCTCCATTGCCTGTGGGTGCAAGGGAAGCAGCAGCGTGGGAAGAACGCAAACTGGGGGGGGGTCTCATCCATTTGCTATGTCCCAGTAAGCTGGTACTACTGACCCATGGCAAGGGACAGAGGGGGCTTAGCAGATGCAGGCTGTGCTGGAGGAATGCCAACATGAGCCTGTGAGGTTGAACTCAGCCCAGGACACAATTTGGGGTTTGGGGCAGGGGGTTGTGCACAGGAAAGTGTGATGGGCCAACAGGATGCACTTCAGGTGGTTTTTGGCAAGCCTGGCATGGCTAAGCAGCTCACTCTCCACCAGGTTCTCACTCCTAATCCTGTAAGAGGCTTTCTGTAAAAACATTATTTGGAACTGGTGTTTTTAGTACCCATGCAGCAGGTGCCAATGCGCGTTAGGGTACTTGCTTCTGCCTGTGATCAAGGCAAAGAGAACTGGAGCATGTCAGGATGCAATCCCCTAAAACAGCCCTGGAGCCCACCCAGAAGGGACAGTGTGAAAGTCATCTGTTGGGGTCAAAAACCTGAATGCCAGTGCCCAGTTATGGCACAACCCTACTGTGAGGCTGAAGGGATGGGGGGGCATTAGGGGGCTGAATGTGCTGTCACCTTTCTGCTCCTCATCCTCTGGGCCTCCTGTGTGACTGAGCACCCTCTCTTGGGACATGAGTCTTCATCAACGGGGGGGGGCTGGGGGAGCTGCTGCGCTCACCACCAGAGTGAGTTACCTGGGATGGTCTCGTTGGGTCCAGTGCAAAAGACCTTTTTCACGGGGTCTCCATTGATGGTGAACTCCTCCCTGCATGTCCCGTCTGCTTGCGTGGGCTTCACATACACAAAGGGCTCTTGGTGGATCGTCACAATCTGCAGGGCAAAACACAGACACCTGCTGGTCTCCGTTCCCCACAGAGCTATGTCCCCCGCTGTGGGGAGCTGGGCTGCCTGCTCCATGCAACCATGGCCAAAATCCCATGGTGCCCTCCTCAGCTGCCATCCCAGCACGCGAGACCACTCAGCCCAGCAGCAGGACCTGTCTTTGGCATGGGGAACATTTGCTTTCCATGCACCCATGACGAGGACAGACACCTGCTGGTCTCCGTTCCCCACAGAGCTATGTCCCCCGCTGTGGGGAGCTGGGCTGCCTGCTCCATGCAACCATGGCCAAAATCCCATGGTGCCCTCCTCAGCTGCCATCCCAGCACGCGAGACCACTCAGCCCAGCAGCAGGACCTGTCTTTGGCATGGGGAACATTTGCTTTCCATGCACCCATGACGAGGAACAGCCATATCAGCATCCTCTGTGTGACACTTCCACCTCGGCCTCAACAGCAGGCTGACGAGAGCCACAGCACAGCCAGGATTAGTGCCCCGAATGGTGCTCCAGACCCTGTCCCACTGCCCCAAGCTAATGCAGGTCTTTCAGTCCTGGTCTGGACCTTTCAGTAAAGCAGCATCCCAACGCACTGCACCATCTCTGCAGGAAACTGGTGGGAACGTGTGGGTTCCCTTGGCTGAACAGCAGGACAAGGGAACTTTCATGTTGGTAAGACTAGACTGCCCAGGATCCAGTCACTAGAGTGGCTGCTGGGCTGCATTTGAGGGAAGGGCATGAGAAGCAAAGCAAGAGTGGCAGGACCTTCTTCCATTGTCACCTCCAGCTTCTGGCCGTCAGCTCTTCAGGGATTTCGTGAGCCCAACATTGCAGCCACCACCCCACCCACCCTGAGCTGGCTTGTTTAATCTCCTTTTCAACCTATTTCCTTCTGGTCTCTGCACTGCCAAGCAGCAACAGGCTCCAGAACTGAACCATGCCTTTGCCAAAGGAGCCCATCCTTGTATTTCCTGCAAACCTGTGCCAGGTGCCCTCTGGCTCCCAATCATGAGGAGCGGTGAGCACCTTACCCCTGCATCCCTCCTCTGCTGTTCTCTTTCCAAACCAAAGGATGCCTGCCACCCTATCTAGTTTGTCTCCAGCTGGAAGTTGTGCTCTAGCTCTGAATGCCCTCCAGTACCTTCTCTAAGCTGTTCTGCTTTATCCTCTCCAAGATGGCAGGTGCCCTGGGTTTGCAAATGCTCCTGACAGCTGCAGAGGCAGCAGTGGAAGTGGGAGGCAGATGAAGTCACAGCTATGCATGCAGAGAGCTGAGGAGACCTGCCACTCCCTAATGCCATTTGCTCTTACCTTCAACTTGGTTGACATCTGATAGCCTTGAGGTTTCTCGGTTTCTCCCCCTGGCCAGATAATCTTCCGGTCATTGGTCAGGACCTGCAATCAGTCCCAGAGGAAGGAGATAGACATGAGGCCATAGGCAGACACCCCAGTTCACACATCCCTCCTACCCAACCTGTCCAGGTCTGTACATACATGGCTGCCGTTGTAAATCCCAACTTGGACCAGTTTCCGATTCTGCAGGTTCATGATGCTGTAGTTGGCAAACTTCCTGTCCCCATCCTCATTGAATTCCACCCGCCCGGTGACACCCTCCGAGTACTTGGAGGACATCAGCACCCTGTGGAGAGAAACACCACAAGGCCAACCTAGAAAACCTGCTGTGGCCACTGGGACACCTAAGAAGGCATCAGAAAGGCAAATGCTTTCTCTCAGTTGCTCGCCATATGCCTACTACCCCCTAGAAGTCCAGTCAAGGCTACTTCTGTTCTCTTCATAGCCCTGTGGACATCCCCTCCTGGTGGACAGTCAGTTTCCTGAATGTTGCACTGCCATATCTGTTGACATTGCCCCTTGTTTTTCACCAGATCAATCCCATTTCCATAAGGAATGATCTGTCCCACAGCACCCAAGGACACCTTCCACTGGGGGTCCCTTGGGAGCTGTGTCCATGCCACTGCTCCTGCTGCTTCTGGCTGGCACCAGCCCATCACAGCCTGGGCATTGTCCCAGGCATGCACATATATACACCAAGGGGACAACGAGACCCCAAACCCTGGAAAGACAATAATGAAGACACAGAAGACTTGCCCGCGCCACTTGCAGTGCACCGTAGAGAACAACTTTGAATAGCTCATGCCAAAGATTGTGTTGCTGCAGAGGACACCAGGAATTTTTCTAAAATAATCTTCAAACTTTGCAGGTTCCAAGCTCAACACAACCCAGATCTCCAGAAAGGGCATCCCACAGAGACCATGACCATGTCTGCAGGGAGCAACCCCTGGCACAAGATCCCACTGCCAAAAGCAACACCCTGGTGCCAGGTAGCACGCTGCAGAGAGCAGCCCTCCTGCACGAGGAGCCATGCTGCAAAGGAAATTGCTGCTTTACCCAGGTCCAGCCTGCAGAAGAGGCTCTTGTGGCTCCAGCATCTGCAGTGGTGCAGCACAAAACCCCATGCAGCACAAAGATTGGGTTCTGGGGAATGTATGGAGCATCTGCCGATACACTGCCCACAGCAGCGACATCCAGCACGTGCATGCTCTGGTCGGCTGGGACCCCACTACCCGAAGAGACAGCAACAGTTTGCTGCAGCAGAGAGCAGCCTGCCCCATGCATGGAGATCTTGTGCCCCCATGCTGCAGCACCGAAATGTTCATCAAGAAACGTGTCTGCAGCACTGAGCTCTGATTTGACACTAATATCCCCCTACCCTGATTTGGCAGAAAACCCCCTTTCTCCCCTCTGCCACCCACAGAATCAAGATCCAGACCAGAGGAGATCATCCCCCCATAGCCCATATATCTTCCTTAGAGTCATTCCCTGCCCATGCTGATCTCAGCTGTCCACGTGCTGCCCAGGAGAGCATGGGTTGGCGTGGACTGAATTGGTGCCCGGCACCAGGATGATGCCTAAACAGCCTGGACAAACTGGGGGTCAGTGCCTGAGCCCGTGTCCTGGCCAATTTTCTAGGACAGATGTAGCCCTGACATCTGAATCATGCAGGAGTGTCCAAGCCATCCTGTGCCACATGCCTCAGAGCTCTAGCGACAGGTCCTCTGAACAAAGCCACCATGCTGCCCCTTTCCACGTGCTCCCACCTTTGCCAGCTCTCTCCCAGCAGTTCCTCTGCTCCCTCCATCAGGACCCTTCCCCAAATACCTCTTGAAAAGGGGTCCTGTCTTCCAGATATTGGTGTTTCCCACACAGCCCCGTGGCGGGTCTGTGATATTCTCCTTCTCAAACAAGTCGTGCACAGCCTGGGCCACCACCGCCACGGCGTCACTGATGTGAGCTGACTCGTTCTTCCCATTGATGAGCTGCAAACCAATGACTCCTGCCGCAAGCAGAGGGAGGGAGGCAGGTCAGCACCGCCGGGTGTGCTGGTTGCTCCAACATTACCCCTGTGCCCAGGGCTTGGGGACCAGCAAACACCCAGTTATGGGCTGAGGACACCTTGGACACAGCTGGGGACTTGCCTGAGCTTCAAGCAGGGGCAGGCAGGGGACGTGGCTGCAACGGTGCTGGGCTGGCACCGTCCTGCCTGCTGGAGGGGGACTGGGGGCAGCTCTGGGGACCACTGTGCCCTGTGCTCCATCCCCATGGCATTGTTCAAGCCTTTCCCCTGGGTGATGGTCAGCCTGCAGAGCCCCAGTGAGCTGATTCGGGGCATGGCAGCATGGCCAAGACTGCTGGACTGCTCTCTCCATATGGGGGCAAAGGGAGTTGGGAGCAGTGTGTGGGACCCTCTGCTCACTTGGGACCACCCTGGCATTGCATTCCCCCAGCCCAAGGGGTCCCTGGGAGGGCAGATGCTGCTCGTCCCAGCTCCAAGCAGGCTCCTCCAAGCCTGGCCGACGGCGGGACGGGTGCCTGTGGTGGGTGCCTACCATCAGGGGCGTAACGCAGGGCATTGCCTGATATCTCCCGTTCCCCCACCAGCCACACGTAGCCGGAGCCTGTCATATTGAGCATGGCTGCTGATCTGTACACCGTGGCCGCATCATCCTCACTGCAATGAGAAGAAGGGAATGGCAATGTGGCTCCAGGTGCTGGATGGCCCCTTTCCTCCTGTATCCAATCCCAAGGGGGGGGCAGCACCAGGGAAAACTCATCCTTAGGCAGCCCTCCTCTGATAACTGGTTTTCCCAAGCAATGGCTAATTCCTTGATGCAATGGGATCTTTCTCTCACCTTCCTCTAATCCCACAGCACCCAGCACTGCCGAGCATCTGCACATCTGGCCCGTTCCTTACTGCTCACCACCTATAAGCACATGGGCAACGAGACTCCCCTCCTTCACAGGTGGATTAGGACACATCACAGGTAACTACTGCTGCTTCTGCAGCTGCTAACACTTTGCAGGACAGGCAGACATCTCACACTCATGATTGCAAGCTCCCTGGCCAGCTGCACCCACAGCACAGCATCCACCACCTGCCTGGGACATTCCCAGGTTTTCTCCCTGGTTTTCTCCCATGTTCCTGGAAAGGACAACATGCCCCAAATCTGCACTGACCCCAGCTCTCGGCAGTGTTGCAAAGGGAGAGTGAGGAGATGGGAGCAGGGAGGGGAAGGGACGGCTCTGCTTTACCTGGCAGAAAGGATGATGACACGAGCCTCCAGCTCTTTGGCCTCCAGCAGCAGCGACGTCACGTTTTTGGTTCCAGGGTCAAACTGAAGCACTTTCTCAGCCTGTGATTAGTGTGAGCAAAGCTGGTTAGTGCGGGAGCCCCAGGACTGCTTGTGAGAGCCATGCTATCTAGAAAAGGGTCAAGAGAATTCATTAAACTGCACAAAAGTCTGCTAAATAAGGTTGGTTAATAGCTATTTTTTTTCTTTTTTCTTTTCTTTCTTTTCTTTCTTTCCTTCCTTCCTTTATCTTTTAAGATTCTGGCTTTTTGGTGTTTGGTTTTGGTTTTTCTTTTTTTTTTTTTTTGCACTGTGCATGCAAACGGAAGTCAATCAAGACCCAAAAAGAGGCGTGCATTGTACAGGAAAGAGAAAAAGGCTTTGAAATGCAATTGAAAACTCAAACGAGTGTTGTTTTTCAAAAACATGGGAAATGAAAAAAACATATTGCACAGGGTTAACCTTTGGGAGTAAAAGTGAACAACTTACACCAAGGAACCGTTTCCTTTGGGGAGGAAAGGGGGTTGGTTCAACTTTCCAAAAAAAAAAACCAACAAAAAAACTTGCAAGTTAATTACTGGTTCACATGCATGTTTCAAAAAGAAATCCTTCCAGGGTCAGCTGGCTAGGTTTCCATTCTCAAGTCCAAACCAAACTATCTCAACATAAACACGTGCTACCAAGATACATAGTCATGGATCTTTTTTTTTTCTTTCTTTCTTTTCTTTTTTCTCTTTCTCTTTTTTTTTTTTTTCTTTTTTATTTTTCTGGTGGCTGTGGCTATTTTTCATTTGCTAGTTAGGTTGGTGGGCGGCGTGCATTTCCATGCATATATACCTTGGGTCCTCGCTTGTTGTCATAGGAAAGTTGGTCGAGGTTTTCATAGTTCCTTTTTTTACTCTGATGAATAATGTGCACAGAGAAAATATGTAGACACAGAAGAATATTATAAACAGTTGAAAATGACGTGTAGTAAAGCAATCCAACATCCACCTCCTCCTCCACTGTTTGCTAAAGGGTCTCTATAACGCTGGAGCTCGCAAAAACCACTATCAGGAGAGAGTGCCTCAGCTCTCACGGGAGCGTCACGGTGCAAAGCCGTACCGGTTAGAGCAAGCCTGAGGGTCACAGCTGGTGCGATGCAGTTGCATTTCCCTTGTGGGACTGGGGAATTCTTCAGCAAGAAATTTTTATCTTAAACTCAGAAACAATCTACGCATCTCTAAGGGCCTAAGTGGTGGGATTGCCATGGAATTACTGTGGAAGTAAAGGACAAAATGTTGTGTACGGAAAGTGCTGGACAAACACAAACTCTTACAGTTAAGAGTATCAGCATTGCTACCGTCACTCTTATCATTACAATCCCGTTCACCCTAGGAGAATTCACAGCAAGTGAGGTGCCTCAGCTGAACTTCTCAGCTCCTGCAAGGAGGGAGCAGATTTTTGGAGCTCTGTTGCCATCCAAAAGAGAAAGAAAAAGCTCTCTACGTCCCATGTTGGTGCAAAGCGTGGCGATATGAAGCAATGGTGATCATGGGATGACATTGCAGCTATTACCTGGTGCCTGGGGAGGACTGAGGGCACTTTGCAGCTCAGTGGCACGCAGGTGGCCCTGCAAGGCTCAGCTGCCAGAGACCATGGTGCCTGTACCCTGGCCCTGTGCATGGCTGGTGGGGTTCCCTCCGTGGTGGTCTCCATGCTGCTGGCCGGAGCATCGCGCCCAGACTGGGGCAGGCAGTTCCGCATGCACTGACCCTGCAGACAACGGACCGGAGCAGAGTCCCTGCTCCTCCCGTCTCCTGCCTGAGACAGCTCTGCGGCTCAGCCCCAAACGGGCCAGGGGCACGAAACCTGCTCTGGAGGGTTCCTCTCCTCCAGGCAGCATGCTGAGGGCTGATGGCTTCTGCTCTCAGAAGCCTTGGCCCTGCATCAGCGTGCACAGAGCCCTGAGGATCTTCCTGTGAGCAGCCCCTGTGGTCATGCCAGTAGAATCACCCCAATCCTGCCTGCAGGACAGTGCTTGGCAGGTTTTGGTGGGACATGGTCTTCTTGTCCCCGTCCCACCCCAGCTGGGCATCCCTAACCTGTGTGTGTAGGGTACAGGACATGGCTCTATTCTGATCTCCATTTCGCAGCATCTTATGGCAATGGCAACCAATCCCTGCCAGGAACTCAACCATTTACACCCCATACTGCAAGGGTTCGTGTTCCCAGGTCACTCCTTAGGCAGCCAGGTTTTATCTCTGCATCTTGCTTTCCAAACTAAAGAGCTTGCCTCTTCCTGAGCACTCAGAGTAGTTTTTGGCAGGACATTTTCCCAGGTCTCCTTTCCGTACAGCTGTGTAATCTTTCCTTTCTTCTCCTTGGACACTGCCTGACGGGTTTTTCATTGCTCAAAGAAGTTGGGTCCTTGCAAGGAAAAGTATCTGAAGAGGCAAAATCTGCTTGGAGCCCAGGTCTGCCTTCACTTCGGATGATGTCCACAGCGACGATTTTTTCAGCAGTTTCTTAGGGTCTGCTCAGATTGCAGTGAGACCTGGAGTAACAACTGCCTCCAGTGAGAACAGAGCTGCAGCAGGACAGTGGGAATATAATATTCTCCAGTGATGACATATTGTCCACTTTTCCTCAGACACCATCAATTTAGCCACAAACTCAGTCATTCATCTTGCAGCCTCCAGCCATGAATTGCCTTGTGTGCCTGGGATGCACCTTGACCCAAGCTGGTCAGCAAAGTGAAGCAGAGTCTTGGCTGCAGCAAAGCTGGACCTGATGGCACCTGATCACCTCTGCCTCCCCCTGTCCCCATCCCTATTGCTAGAACTAGACCAGTAACATCTCCTCTTTTTCCTGTTTTTTCATGTGGTCCCACAGCCCTTCCCTGCTCCTCAGCCCATGTTTTACGCAGGGACCCACAAATTCAAAATTAATTTTCCACCATGTTCTCCAGCATTACTCAAAAAATTACGACTTCATGAACACCACTGTCCCAGAGAAAGGGAGCCAGCACGCCAGGGACCTGCCACCTCTGACGTGGACAAGCTCTGATTTTCACAGTGTCTGGCACTCCCTCCTGAACCCGAGCAGCGTTGGTGCAATGCTGCCTGCCCAGAAGAATGAGCAGAGTCGTACTGGGATGTAGCAGTAGTTCCAGGCTGATTTACTGCGGGCAGACCTAAGCCAAGGCTAGCACGCGGGGTGTGCCAGGGCTGGCCAGCCTGGCCCAAGTGCTGGGCTCCAAACACCTGCTTGAAATGTGAGTCCATGCAATAGTGCTTGAGTGACACCCAGGATCAGCACAGACTGCAGGGGACAAGCCATTCTCAGATCCAAGAGCTCAGGTGGGCAGGTGAGCCTCTGACCCATAGCAGATCCCCCAGGTCCTCAGGGGCTGTGATCCAAGCCTTGAAGAGGTCAAGAGCAGGTCTCCTGCCTGCTCCATCCCCAAGACCCAGGCTTCCCTTGAGGAGGTTGGGGAGGGCTCCAGGGTACACTTCACAGCATGAAGAGAGTCAGCACACCACTGATTAGATGAGCAATTAGACAGCAGAAGAGATTGAGGAGGACAGGAAAGCCCCAACAGGAGCATCTACCACCTTCAAGACCAGGCAGACCAGTCAATCTGACCACATCAAGCTCCTCAAAGGAAAAAGAAAGAAGATGCAGTGGCACGTCCCAAAGGGAAGACAAGATGATCTACCACCACAGAGCACACGTCCCAGGCTGGAGGACTTCCAGGCCATTTGCAGTAGCCCAGTGGCTGCCAGGAGACACCAAGACATGTTGTAGATGCTGTGCAAATGTGGGGCAGGTTTAAGGACAGAGCCTCTCTCTCCCCCATCTTTTAAGCCCCAGATCTCAAAGACTTTCCTGTAGGATGGACAGGCTGAAGAATAAAGACACCCTGTGCCTGGGAGCATTGCACGGAGCAAGCAGGGAGTGGAGGCATGAGAGGGAGCAGCAAAAGGGGATGCCCGGCCCTGCAGGAAAACAGAAAGTATAAATCAAAAGATGCAAGGAAAGGGACAACAGACTGGCAGTGGAAACAACCTTTCCACAGCTCTCCCTGGGTGAGGGACACCGTACTGGGAAGAGGGAAATACTGGCCCACTGTCACCCAGAGGGAAGCTGCCTTTGGAGGCAGGAGGATCCCACCATGGTTGGTGGCACACCAGTGTCTCATGATGGCCTGGGATGCAGCAAGGATGAAACTTCTTGGACACCACCACCAAAAACAGAAGCCTGTTGGTCAGTGTGGCTTGTGCCAGCCAACTGCCAAATGTCCATCAGCTGCTGCTGGGGCTGGAGAAGATCAGGTTGTGGTCCCTGCCTGTGACCCAGGAGGGAGCAGCCAAGATACAAGTGCCTGCCCTGATGCTGCTGAAGACTTGGAGATGGGCTCGGACTCTGCCCATCCAAAGGGGACCTCACCCTGCCTCAGGCAAGAGGATGTGCTGGGACTTCACCCCATAGGGCAGGAGGTGGTTCCTTGCCTTCTGGACAGATGCCTGCCTTTGAAGCACTGCAGCCAAATGGCTCCCTGCGTTCTCCTTCTCTGCTTGGCTTGAAGGCTTGCTTGGTCCTTCTACTCAACAGCAGCAGGTCAGTGGTAGTCGTCCTGAATTTGTAGCAGGCTTGGGGACCTCTTCTGCCTCCCTCCCTGCTTCCCTGCATGGCCCTGAGTGCAGGTGCAGTGCACCTCCTCGATAAAGCTGCTCCCGCCAGCCGCGACCGCCCTCTCGTAACAGCATGAGGTGTCAGGAAAGCAGCGTTTGGCATGTGCTTCAATGGAGATGGGACCAGGGGCGTCAGCCTGCAGCTGCAGAGCCGCCAGCTTTATAGAGAGGGTGCATTATACCTCTGCGCATCAACGCGCCGGCTGCCCTTGCCCCTCCTAAGCCGCTAAGGTGAGCTCCGGTTAGCCAATTCAGAAGCTGCTTTTCGGGGTTGGTTTGGCTCTGCTGGGTCTGCCTGGCCCCGGGGTGGCTGGAATGGGGCAGGTGCTTCCCTAAGCTGAGCGATTGGTCCTCTCCTTAGGTGGGAATCTTGGGCGAGGCATTTGCAGAGCTCCAGGTTATCCTTCCCTTCATTTTGTAGTCGATTTACATGTAGGAGATTTTGACCATGGCAAAGCAAGTGAAATGAATAAAGTACAAAGTTCTGTCAGGTACTAGTCAGACACTGTTGATGCTTTAAGCATGTTAGCCATGTTACAATGGAAAGAAAAGGTGTTTTACATACAGAAATCTACATACATACAACAGCCCGAGACTTCTAGTTTTGTTGTTGTTAAACAAAGCTACAAGACAATGTTCAGGAACTGACCTTGGACTCTCTCTCCTCCAAGAGGGTCTCCAGCTTCTTTTGTGCAGCACGACCTTCGTGGTCGTCACTGACTATCAGAATGACGTGATTCCAGTTGAAGACTCTCATCATCTCAAACCAGACGTTGGCCTGGTGAGAGTATGGTGGGACCGTGCGCAAAAAGGACAGGTGGATGCTCTGCAAGGAAGAACAAGAGCTAAACATAGACTGGTTGGGTTGTCGGCCAGGGTGCGTCTCGGGGACCGGGCAGGTTGGCATGGACGGGGCTGGGATCGCGAGGCCAAAGAGGCAGAGAAGCAATTTTTGGTAGACCTCTGGGCTGCACGCCTTGAGCTAGCCCCTGGGACCTGCACTCCATTCTTTTGTCTGAGAAGCAAACCCTGGCTATGATTAAACCCTCTGTGGTTAATCCAGCGTGTGGCAGAGAGGGTTTGTTGCTTTGTGGTCTGTACATACGTGGTGGAGCAACGACCTGTCAGCAACGTTCAGTGCAAATATAGCCTTTCCTCTTGAGTTTTTGAAAATATTACTGAGCAAGGGACATCAAAAAGAAAACAAATTCCCATCAGAGAGTGACAAGGAGCAGTAGCAGGTACTCACGTATATATATTAGTTATTTGTCGTGAGAGAGGTTCAGAAAAGCAGTTCTGCAATGTGCTGTTTGGCTGTTTCTAGGTCAGCCTGTTCTCCAGCAGCACACAGGAGGAGGCAGCTCCGGGCTCACGCACTAGCTAACCTATCTGATTTGGTTAAAGACATCATTATGGTTGGATGAGCAACCAATAGCAATTCCAACCTAATTAACTACAGCACTCTTTGGGGAGCAATCGGACCAAAAGCTGTAGCTGACAGAGAGGTTTCAAAAAATTGCAGCATTTCAAAAGGCCCTAGAGTCAAATATTAGAAAATTAAAGTGCTTATGCTCAGCATGGACGCTGCTCAACAAACCAGCTACGTGCTGGAGGGGGGCAGAAGTCTGACCAGGAGAGGACAAAAAGGAAAGCACCATAATATTTCTTTTTTAAGGCTGAAATGGTCCTCTGGACCAAACAGGGCTTGTCTAGACCTGCTCATCCAGGGACCTGCCCCAGAAATGTCCTGAATGGGCCAAAGCAATTCACTCTGGAAGCGAAAGGGCACCATGTCCACCATGGAGGAGGAATGGGCAGACCCAATAATGTCTGGAATGGGCAGACCCAATAATGTCTTTTCCTCACGCTCAACATGGTGATAAAGTCAAACCTAACCATGCAACGTATAGAAAATACTGCAGCCCCCCAGTCATGGTCAGGTCTCCCTGCAGTGGGGCAGCATGTCTGCTCTGCTGCCCTGGACCAAAACACAGGAATACGGAGGCAGCAGCAAAAGCACCAAAGCACTGGAAACATTTCCTAGTTACAGAAGACTGAGAAGAACCATGGATGTTTAATCAAAGGAGGAAACAAACCAGGACAGCCATACCAAGCTCCTCAGACCTGCAGCTCTGTATGACTGATACAAACTTTCCCAATTACATGAAGAGCAGGAGAAACGCACCTTACCCCACAAGCCCAGTACTAATCAATGGGGTCAGGAAGAAGCCCCATAGGGACAAAAAAGGGAAGGTCTCCACACCAACATGGTGTTCAAGCTGTTCTTGGAGTCAGCAGAGACGCCCAGGTAGTTCCAGGTTCAGCTCTGGGGCTTGGGCCAGGGGCACACAAGATGGGTCTGAGCATTTTTAATTTTTAATCCCTGAGTATTTTAAATTGGTCTAAGGAAAACCAGGGAAAATGAAAATGGAAAAAAATCAGAAGAGAGAAAATAAATTTAAAAAGAACAGAATAGCTAATAGTTTAAAAAAAAAAAAAATCCAGGCTAAAAAAATAAAAATTCTAACTTAAAATTGTTTCAGTCCCTTTTTGAAATGAGAACACCTTGGCCATTTTAATAGGTGGCATCCAATTATTTTCTAGTTTCCCCACTAGCTTGCAAAAATGCTGTTTAAACTGATTGTGACTTTCCTAAGTGTTGTAAATATAGAGCACTAGGTTCAAATGAACAAATTTTACTGCAAACTTGTTGGCCAACAACTTGGTTTAACAGTTCAGGCAAATTTACTTTCTGAGGTGGTGTCAAAAGGGTCACGGACTCACTATGATGATATCTCGCCTCTCAGATTACAGAATGGTAATTTTTAAGTAGGAGAACAAAGAAAAACTAATTGCAAATGCTGAGTGGAGATTTCAGGGTGAGCGCTCACATTCTGTACTCTGCTTTTGAAGCACTTGGGACTCCCGAACTTCTCTGCCAGGCCCAAAAATTGGAAAAAAAATGTCAGTAAAGTCCCCCAAAGGTTAACAAGTCCAACCTGTGATGTGCAGAGGCAGCTGGGAACTGGGTTTGTGCAGTTCGACAACTCCTGTCACAGCAGAGGCAGTGACGCCCCCCAGGTCTCCGGCAAATCCCTCTGAACCCAGCACAGAGCTCTCCTGGCCATGGGACACGTGGGGACATGGGGCTGTACTGCCAAGTTTGTGGATGCAATGACTTATGCATCATAGTTAGCCCATTTTTAGACAAATAACCTCAGTCAAGGGGAACTACTTTTCTCCCCACTTGCAGTGCAGCTTCCCAGGCTGACTAACACCGTTTCTGCTGAGCATCGGTTGCCGGTAAGAACACTAATAAAGAAAAACACCCCTCTGAGTGAGCTGTAACTCCTGGGAGGGCAGGAGTGATTATACTGAGACAAGAAATCAGGGGGAAAAGCCATCCCCAGGTCCAGGCTGGAGACAGAGAGAGAGAGAGAGACAGACAGACCTCATTTCAACTACCAGGACCAGTTGCTGGAATGTTGAAATGGCTCCAAGTGCAAAATGACTAAAGCCATTTTCCATCTTTCAGCAGCAGAGCAGGTCTCAGTTAAGAGCTACCCTTGGTCCCCCCCTACACTGCCTCTCTGATGGGGAAAGGTGTGGGGCTCAGCACCTCGGGGCATCCAGCATGTCCCTTCATCCCCATCACACAGGTGTGCTCCCACACGGTCCTGATGAACGGCACCAGACCTTCCCGGCTAGCGATTTGTGCATTTCCCCACGAGCTTCGCTCTCACGCTCTCAGTGCCATTTCATATTTCTCCTATTGTCAAGGCGCCAATGTCATCTCATTTTTTTTGGCTGAGATTCAAAGGGGCTATCAACACCCCCAATGCCACACGGGGAAGAGAAGTACTAAAGCAACAGTCCAGCCTGTCCATTCAGGGGGCCCAGCACAAGAACGTCAGAGTGTGATTCCATGAGGAGTCCAGGAAGGGCTCTCCATAGGGATGGACCCCACGGCGATGGGCACCGCTCTGCTGCCTTCACTGGGAGACCCTCCCCTCTCCTGCTGCAAATCCCTTCTCGTGCCATTTAGAGGTGGCCGGGATCTCAGAGACCTCCTCACCGTACCGGCAGGACTGAGCTAAATGCCGTGAGGATCTCGGTGAAGAAGCAGGTAATGATTTCATAAGATGTTCGCACAAGGAGGCTGCCAAGCCAGAGTGCTCAGCTTGAGAGCTGCAATGCCGATTCTAGAACAAATAGTTCTTCGATTATTGGGAGCAATAACACCTGCTTCCCTCTGGTGTCTTTATTGAAAGACTGCCGACAGCTTGTGGACCACTGTGCTTGCCTGGGGATGCTTCAAGAGCATCAAAAGGTACTGGGCAAACCTGTGCTGAGGCCCACGCCTTTCTCTCCCTGGCAGCTTAGCTTTGGGAGGGCCATAATTAACTCTGAGGCTTCAACCCCCTGTGAAATTTAGCTAAAATTGGCTGATGCCTTCAAACCCAGTCAGGGGCACAAACACAAAGTGATCTTACAAGCTTGTTTCCATAGAAACTAAGCTGAAAGATATAATTTCCTGAATAAAAAAAAACAAAAAAAAAAAAAAAAAAAGCGAGGTGATCACTGGAAACCAAAAAGGGAACCAGCTGAATGTCCCCATGTTACACCAGCCAGCCTGTCCTGAGTGGGTGTGCAGAGCCTCCCACTGTCCTGTCCCATGCCTCCACAGCCCTTTGCTCCACTGTCCCCCACTCCCCTCCCACCTTTGCTGTCCCCTCCAGCTCCTTCCCATCCACTGTTTGATGTCCTCACTCCTCTACCCACCTGGTCCCTGCCTTTGCCCCATCTCCTGCCTGCAACCCCTCTCTCCACATGGAGCTCAAAGTCCTCCAGCCCCTGCTGCTGGGGTGGGAAGGGGGCTGAGGACCAGGCCAGGGAGGCAGGAGCGCTCAGAGGGATGGGACATGCTGGGGGGCCTCTGCCGAGTCTCTGCCCCACCGGCCTGCACCTGCCCAGGTATTCCATGGGGAGCATCTCCCTCCCATGGCAGTGGGTTCCCACTGCTGCAGGGGGTCGCTCCTCCAGCTCTGACAGGAGCCAGGTGGTTTTTACGAACCACATTTGCAGAGAAAAGTTTTTAAATAGGAAAAAAATGGCTGAAGGAGAGTCTGCTGGAGAAGCTCCCACCCCTCAGGGTGAGCACACAAATTCAGCACAAGGTCGTGCTGGAAAAAAGGCTCTGCTGAGATGAAGCTGGGCTGATGACATGCAGGGTCTCCTCTCCCTGCCATTGTGTGCACTGTGACAAGGTTCCTCTCGGTGACATTGCTCATCAGAACTACCTCCTCCCCATGGCAGCATGAACCAAACTCCCCCTGGGCATTTCCTACCTGCTGCCTGCCCTCTCCCTCGTTCTGCCGGCTCTGTTATCATCCCTCTCCTCCTAACAGTGCCTGACGGGACCCTGCCAGGGTGCACAGGTCCCCAGCCCCTGTCACTGCCGTGTCCTTGGCTTGCTGGCTGTCCTACCATGGCTTTACTTAGTGGGAGATGCCACGCCCTGCCACTGCTCCAGCACAGCAGTCCTGCAGGCTGCATCTCTGAGAGCCTCTGCTCCTCCCTCCTGAAATTCGACTTCATTTAGCATGTAGGTGGAGTGACTATTTTTGCACTGAACATTTGCATTGGTGAATATTTACATTTTCCAAGCAACTGCATCTCCGAGAGCCTCTGCTCCTCCCTCCTGAAATTTGACTTCATTATCATGTAGGTGGAGTGACTATTTTTGCACTGAACATTTGCATTGGTGAATATTTACATTTTCCAAGCAAAGACTGATTCGTGCTTCAAAACAGGCCTGATGGCACCCACTGAGCTCGTGCACCTGGATGAAAACCTCCACCGAGGCTGCAATGGCATGTGGTGCCCCGGCTCTGCTCAGCTCCTCCTTTTGCTTTTACTCATCCCAAAATGTCTTCGCAAGATGGGTTACAAGCTGAGCGCCCGGTGGAAGAGCCAGCCAGGGCAGCACCTCATCGCCCTGGCCAGGGCATCACTCCCAGCCCCGCGCAGGGCAGGACCTCATCCAGCCTGAACATCTCCGTGTTTCCACGGGGACAGCAGACAGCAGTTTGGGACCCCGGAATGTGAACCTCATTCTTGAGCACTGGCCAGACTGAATGTCATTTAAAGCCTGGGGACAACTTGTTAGTCAATTCTATTATCTCCACTACCAGTAACAACCAGAGAAGTGAACGCAATCAAATAACCTTCAAGCCCCAGAGATCTCCTGCCCCATGTACAGGCTCCCCAAGGACTCTCCCAGCCCCTCTGCAGCCCCCCTGCACCCGGGGAGCCCCCAGGACCCGGCTGTTGGCAGGGAGCAGGGCGGGAGCTGGGTTGTGCCATTGCCTCGGCTGCAGAGCAGCAAGCCCAGCAGCCTGGCAGAGCAACGCTGCAGAAATCATCCAGCACTATGTAGGTCAATACTGGCAGCTGCGAAAAAAATAATGTGCCGGGGAATGTGGGAGAGAGAGAGAGTGAGAGAGGGAGCAGCGGGTTTAACTGGAGAGGATGGATGGACAGACAGACACACAGCTAGGCAGGGAGCGTAGACATCGTTAACCCTCCTGACGGGCACTCTGGATTTACAGCACATGTATGAGGTACTAGACTAGAAACATGCATCAGTTACCTTATCCGAATATATAGACATGCGTGTTGTCAGACCAATGACAGGGATCCTGTAGAAGCCAGCTGTGTATGATACGGGTGTTGGTGTTAGGTGATCGTTGGGAGCAGGAGGGTGACTAACTAATATTGCATAGACCTGCAGGACAGGATACACGACACAAACATTATTTCACAGGAGCACATCGGCCATCAAGTGTGATTTTTTTTTTTCCCTTTTCCTTTCTGCAACGTTAAACAGCCCCACATTAACATGATAACGGCATTCAAATAACCGGGCACAGCGAGGCAAGGACTGCGCCGGGGAGCGCGGGGTGCTGTGCCACGGCTCAGCTGCAGCCCATGCAGGGGTAATGGGTCTGCTCAGGGTTATATCTTAATACAAATGCCGTGCCCAGCCGCTCTGCTCGCCAAACTAATAACTTTCATGGATTAGAGATTAAAGGGAAACATCTCCCTTACAGTCACACTGTGTAATGCGATTTCTTTAACCACACATTTAATACTCGGTTGTAATTCCCCTCCGAGGACTATTACAAACAAAGTGGTCAGCTGGGACTCTGAGCAGGAGAAGGAGCACAGAGCCGCGGTGCAAAGCAGCCATCTGGCCCTGGGCACACAGAGAGATGGGAAACCGGGGGGGGGCAGTGGGGGGCAGGAGCTGGGATCTGCCCTCAGCACGCACAGGGCATGGGGGTACCCAGGTTATACCAAAATGGGGAAGCAGGATTCCAGCAAGATCCTGCTGTTATTGCAGGGCTGGGAGTTTGGTCTCCAACAGAATCCTATTTTGTGTCAAACCAAGAGGATGGAGCTGGGTAATCCCTGGGGGAGCCTTTGTTACACTGATGTCCTTTCACAGCACAAGGAATGTCCCCAGCTGGCGACAGGTCTCCAGCTAGGCTGAATAAAATAACACTTCTTCCTACTCCAAGCATCTGCCCAAGCCCTAGGATGTGCTCTGCCCCTCGGGATGGAGGGACGGCTTGTAGGACAGGAGGGGCATGAAGAGTACCTGGGGCAGGGGACCTGGGGACTGGGTGGGAGGAGGGAAGATCCTGCCTGGTGCAGGGTGGGATCAAGCTGAGGGTGCAGAGCTGGGGCAGGGGTTGGAGACCCTGTCATGGGAGAAGGGAGGAATGACTGGGGAAGGGGCTGGGGAGGTCCCCTGGGGAGGCAGGAGGAGGGCAGTGCCCTGCGCGGAGATGCCTGCTGTGGTGCTGGCATGAGGGGTGGGCGAGCATCAAGGACGTGCACCCAGCAGGGTTGGGGCACAGGCCCTGGGGGAGAC